AAAAAAAAAAAAAAAAAAAAAAAAAAAGGAAATATGTTCGTACGAGACACCATTGTATTACGTATGTATTTTTTCTTTTTGTTTTTTAATTTTCATTTGCATTTGCATTTTCTTTTCTTTTCTTTTCTTTTTTTATGATTCATTTTCCTTCCATTATTACAATAAAGCAAAGAATTAAGCAACGCGGCTAAAAATAACTGAGGGGTAGTTTAAAGAGAATAAAGAAAAGCGGACATTTTTAAGTAACTGTGATTTATTAAAGTGTTTTATATTATACATATATAAAAAATATATAGATTATATATATTATAGAGAGAGAGAGAAAGTGAGAAAGTGAGGAAAACCAGTGAGTGCTAGAAAACGAGAGAAAGAGAGAGAGAGAGAGAGAGAGAGAGAGGGAGGGAGAGAGAAAAATAATATGAATTAATTTTTATGCATAATATTAGACGATGTTTCTTGATGTCGCTGTAATTTATACGGAAGCGTAGAAATTTTCTAGATTTACATATCGATAGCATTAGCAAAGAGCGTCTATATTATTATTATTATTATTATTATTATTATTATTATTATTATTATTATTTGATCATTATTATAATTTGAACTTTTTATTGTATCGTTAGCGATATATTTTGAGATAAAAAGAAAGTGTACGAAAACGTTCGTTCCAGAATTGTTAAATAGTTTCTAACGAGAAGCTCGTAAAAATATATGTTTTTTTTTTATTATTATTTTTTTGTTTTATCTAATTAATATTATTATTATAATATATTATATTACATTATGTGTTATATATATTATATGATATTATACGAAGGACATTCGCAAATGTGTGTGTTATGTCGTAGAAGAGGAAAACAATCGAGAACATTTGTTCGTTTGTTTTTATTCTTTTCTTTTTAAAAAATTTTGTTTAAATATAACAAACGCCAACCTCTCGCGAGGTGTTCCTATATACAATATACCTACCGTATGCATACATACATACATACATACATATGTACTGCACTTTATGTCGAGCGCTTTTCGTAAAGATTCGTAGTCGTTAGTAAAATGTAGAAATGTTTTATTTTTTTTTTTTTTTTTTTTTTAAGCCAAAGTTCATTCAATTATTTTCGAGCATGGCTCACGTCCTCGTCATCGTAGTCGTTATATGGTGACAAGTACTTAAAAAAAAATGTAATAGTATATTACATTTTTATTTACTTGTCAATTAGAAAAAGAAAATTTTTAATTGTGTTTTTTTTTTTCTTTTTTTTTTCTTTTATATAATTTGGATTCGCTCGACAAAAGTGTAAAACTGTCCTGATAGTACGTGTTCATTTTTTTAGACTCCACAGCAAATGTATGTGTGGAGAATACGAGGAATATGTAGATGTATGTATCCTCGATATATACAATAATATTATAGATTCCAAGATCAACGATGAGGGGAGTCGTTTAGCCATGAGATATACGAACTGTTTATTAGTACATGACAAGAAGAAGAAGAAAAAGAAAATAATATTCAGAAACGAGAAATAAGTCAGAAGAAAAAAATGTATATGAAAAAAACGGGGAAAAAAAAAGATTGAGATTTTCTTACTAAATGCTACATGTGGTTTATCCTGCTAAAATGAAATGTTTTCTCATTCGTGTAACGTTATCAGATTTCAATATAAAAAAAATGGGAGGAAGCTAACTAACAAACAAACAAACAGTATATATGATAAACGAAATTTTCCTATTTTGAAAATTGGCAACATCTAAACAAATCGACATGTTGGAAAATAGAATTAGCTGTGAGAACAGTGCGAAAGATAAAAAGAAATATTTAAAATTCAATCGCTTATTTCGTTTCTCGACGACCGAGTCTCGCTCGTCGCACCAGTGTCTACGGTTACAATAATGTAATGTCTAAGAATTTTTCTGAGATTGTACATATTATCTTTTTTACTATTAAACATTTTGAAAAGCGAATATACTTGAGAATTTCTCCAAACGATTTTACCCAAATTCGATATGTATATACGAAAAAAAAGTTAATTTTAATAAAACTTACGTAAGTATATATATATATATGTATAAGTAATTAATTAATTTTTACACATGTATATACAAATTTTACAAAAACATAACACTTATACATAAGACAAAAATCTTATCATTTGTTTCATATAAAAGATAAAAATTCAAAAAGTGCATACATATTTACATGCACAATTTACTCTTACGTATTTACGTGCATAAAAATTAGTTTTCTACTAACTTTTTCGATTAATCGATATCGCATAAATAAACTTTTGCAAAAAAAATACGATACATAAACACATACATATACATAAGATAAAAATCACATAATTAGTTCCTGAAAAAAAAAAAAAAAAAGGAAAAAACAGTACGTACTCGTAAATACTTGCTTATACATATATATATTAACTAGACAAAAAAAAACATAATTCATTACAAAAAAAAAAAAAGAACCACGATACACATACAGGTATATGAATTAATAGTATTTATTTTTTTTTTTTCAACGAGTTCAATGTACCGTTCATTCTGTAAACTTCATGTGTACGCATACGCGAGAATATATTAAAAGCTTAATCGTCATCTAACACGAAAGTTAATTAGATAGATAGAGACGAAAGAAATGGAGGAAAAACGAAAATGGAAAAAGAGAGAAAAAAAAAAAAATCAAGTTTCCTTGGCTGTGAATTATACGCATCCACGCGAAACGCATTAATAATAATAATAATAATAATAAAGAATTATACGATAATATAAGAAAAATGCAGAGAGGGTTTTGTAGATGCGCGGTCGAACGAAGGAAGGAAGGGTTGCCACGGAGTCGAGTTTGCGCGGAACGCGTTTCGTCCGCACTCCATACACCCCCGCCACCCCCCATAAGGAAATGAAGGAAGGAGGATCAGCAGAAAACCCGGAGACTCTCTCCTAGAGCGTTTCGCGGACTGTCACCGCGGATTCTAACGTTCGTGAGAACGCGAATGAATTTTTTTTCTATTTTGCTCGTGTTTACAACGAGTTTTTTTATATACCTATTATCGTGATATATATATAAATATATATATTATTTTTCTCTCTCTCTCTCTCTCTCTCTCTCTTTTTATTCTTTTTTATCAGAGCCAAACTTTTCTTTTTTTTTTTAACGTTATCCAATTGAAACGAACACAACGGAAGATTAAAAAAAATCAAGATCCAAATTGAAAAGGAAAAATAAAATAAAAAGGTGAACATTAATTAGTTCAATTGTGAGAAAAGACGATGGACCATCGTCGACAGGTGCGTGAACCTCCTCCTTTCTTCAAATAACTCGCGTGGTGGAGCTGTAGGTGTTTTTCACTTGTGTGTATATATGCATATATATATATATGTATATATGTATATATACGTGTGTGACTCTTATGTGTCGTTATATATATATTTATATGTATATGTATTTATGTATGTGAATATAGTATCGTTGTAGTAGTAGGTGTGACGAGAGGGCTGAAATACTCCTCGACTCGACGTGCTTCTTCCCTCGTGTAGAGACTCATTCTCTTTCTTTCTCGCTCGAGAACGGACGAGTATATTCGATCGATCGTATAAGCAAACTCGGATAGGACGATATCAAATGGCATGTTCCTGGAAAATTACTCAGGGATATTACTTACTCGTCGAACTATCTCGTCAACTATCTTTCTCTCTCTCTTTCTTTCTCCTCATTTTCTTTTCTTGAATTTCTCATTCTCTTGGCATATTTGTTTCCTTTGTTTTTGTCTTTTTCTATTTCTATTAAATAATAAACCGTTTATTTTGTTTAATTTTCTTTATTACGTTCTTTTCTTTTTTTTTTTACTATTTTTTCTTTTTCTTTCATGGGTGGGGTTGATAACAACTGCAACGAGATATAGATAAAGTAAGAATATTCCTTAGTCTTTTTGTTTGTGAAAGTTAGGTTCTTCTATTATACAAAGTTAAAACGATTACGTGACTCGTAAATGATCAGAACGATCGATCTGACGTGTTTATTCCGAATAGTTGTAACGCGTGCATGCAAATTTTTATTTTACTTTACCTTCCTAGATACTAATGTTTTTTCTATCTCTTTCTCTTTCTCTTTTCGTGTTTACGATCGAATTTATGCATTAATGATTGATTTTTTTCACGAATTTAAATTGCGACGATAATTAATATTTAGGAAAAAAAAAAAAGAAAAGAATTTCTTTCGTTTTACTGTTTGTTTTTTTTTTTAATTCTAATCTCGATAATCTACCACGATATGTAACTCAATCTTTTTCAATATGTTTTATTTTAAGTAATATATTATAAATTTTTCGTTTACCTATTAATAATAATTAATTGACGTTATGTGTAAA